GTATCAAGTACCTACCTAATTTCGGTTTTTTTTTCCTCGCTCCGAATTCTTTTCAAAACGTCTTTCAACCTCGGTGGCGCCTTTTTTTTTTTTGTATGCGGCCGCACGTGTGCGTATATATTATATATTATATATTATTATTATTATTACAACTACACAGAGACGGCGGCACGACTAGGATTTTCACCATTCGCTGGAATAATATAATATAGCTATATATATTATATATATACATAATATGTGTATATGCTGCAGCGCCCCGACGATACGACCGACTGACTGACAGGCGACCGTCCCACAACTGCAAGCGCGACGGCCTCGGTCCGGACCCGAAAGACCCTTACCGTATGTGCGTATGTAACCGTCGTCACCGCCGCCGTCGACGGCCCAAAATTTGCGCCCCCGAGCGGCCCGAACCCCCTTACGCATTGTAAACGCACTTCGGAAAACGGTTTTGTCCGAATGATTTTTTTTCATTTAAAAATTTTATCACCGTTTGCACAATATAATATCGCATAATGATTGTATCATTTATATATACACGCGCTGTATCGCTACATCACATTTTATCGTCGAGGGTTGATTTTTCGCGTTGGTACAAAAGTCGCCAACGCACGCGGCAAGCGTAGGGGGAAACGGCCATTACGCTCCAACACCTGCCGATACCCGACTTCTATGATGCGGTTGTATACTCGATCGCCTAAATAATAATAGTCGAGCGCTAGTTCGATCGTTGGTTATGTAATAATATATGAGGGGAGGAAAACCAACATTTGCGGTTTTTTTTTAGCACGCGGGTCCATGAAATGCGATTTTTTCACTCGCCATTCATAGAAACTTGTATACTTTGCCCGGATTTGGCCGGCTGAGAGCTACCGAGAAAATTTCGATGGGCCAATACACAAAAATCAGTAGGAATTATATAATTGAATGGCATTTTTAAGCCGTCAGGACCAGTGGTCGTAGTTAAATGTTAGAAATCTTAAAACATGGTGGGCCGGGTATTTGAATTCATTTTAGGACCAGGGTCATCGATATGACCTGCGTGCACTCATCACATACTGCGTTTCGTGATGGTTGTCGGGTGTCGCAAATAACAGTATACCTACTTGAAACGATACATAATATTATTATACTGACTAATCGTACCTACAGGCTACTCAAATTTGAACAGAAGACTTGCTGGGCGTTGGCTGCTCACGTCTGCAAATCCGTCATTACCAAAATCTTTTCTGTCGGCAAATCGCCTATAAGGGCGGGGATATACCGCGTGCGATTTGTGACGGGTTTTGAAATCTTCACAGTATTTTTGAACCCGAGTCTTATTTTCACATTATAAATTATTACACATTTCGGTTTTAAAGATGACGAGCATAATATATCCATGGAAAACGAGTACCTACCTATATTTAGCAGACGGCCGATAACCCACACCAATTATTATTATACGGATAATCATACGATGTAATCACGAATTAATAAAATGTATTATGTTTGCATATATTATAGGTGCACTGCGCTTCTGTATGGTTTAATTGTGTTGTGTTATATTATAGTTTCATTATAACACGTTACGCAACGTCAACGGTCTTCTATATTATTATTATTATTATGGTAATGGCATAGTAATTATGGCGGATATCGTCTGCGGCTAAAGTAATAAGAAAAAAATTATAGCCGGCGCTGACGTTCAAATTATCGTCCTAGCTGTACCTATGTCCTATATGTAATATTATTATTATGTTTATACGCCATAATAGCTATAGCATCATCGTGATGTGCTTGCAGACTACATTACGACAGCAGTCGCGGGTTTCGGATTCATCGCATATTACATGTATGACTTTTATGTACAGGCATACACACATAATATAATATATTTCCACTGGCAGTTTTCCTGCGCCATACAGACGGTGATGTGCCGATAACTGTTTCGGTTTTCGTAAAATCGTAGAACCGCGAGTAATTCGGCGGCGTATTCTTTGATTCGACATTTGTCCATTTACCAGTCATTACGATAAAATTATTATGATCATTTGTGATGACGATTACGTACTTATCGTATAGTTATATTTAACGATACGATCGTGTAAAAGGTTAAAACCATAAAGTCACACTGCGGATGCGATAGTCAACAAATAAGTGTGTCACTGGTGGGAATCGGGGAGCGTTTTCGTACAAGCAAATAAAAATATGTAAACACACGCGGGTGAGGGGACCTCGAAAAACGGCGGCGACGACGACGTTTGACACGAAAAGTCGTCTTATATAAGCGGGAAGGGCGATCATTTCGCACTTTATTTGCGTGAGCGAGAGATCCCTCGTGTGTAATGTATATATATGTATAAAAAAAATCCCCTATTTGAGAGGAGTCCAGTGATTGTAATATATCGTTATATAATAATGCACCACAAGAGATTTCGATCCTTTCGGCTCGCGTACGCGTACAATAAACAATATTATTTTTTTATATTTAGTCGTCTATGAGCAGAGTTTTGCTTGCAATTTTGATGCGGACTAATTATTAATATATTAACATTATAATTTACATCTGAATTTAAAGGCATATAGGCCAGCTACTAGGTATAGGTACCTCGGCTACCTTAATGCATACATATATATATATATGTGTGTGTGTGTTGGAATTGAACTCCGCCTATGTTTGTTAGAACAAACGTTAAGTCAGACGGCGAGTGAACAAGGGTGGTTGCCGATTATTTTAGTGTCATTATGTAGGTATTAATGTATTACTACACCAGAGAGAGTGCCGATGAGGCTGATGAAGATGGTGTTTTTTTTCACACCACTTGCAGTGGTTAATTTTCGACCGTATAACGATATGAGTATTGGCGTACGCATTAACATAATATATTATCATACATTTCGTGGAATTAACGATTATATAGAAATTGTGACTGTAAGTTGTAACGAAACGACCTAAATAGACTGAAGCGACGGAACAATATTATGCTATCCCGCAGCTCCTTCCGACAATGTATTAGCTTATATAGCTTTTAGGTGGCAAAAAAAAAATCGGATTATTTTTCAGTGTAAAGTTTGCTGAGACCTGGGCACTACCGAAGAGTCGTTTTTACGAATGTTACACGGCCTGACGGCCTATCATTGATGAACTGGATTTTTATTTTTCTTAAGGAATACTCGAATTTATATACATACATACATATTAGGTATAAACTATGCATACCTACCTACCTACCAGTTTTAAGATATGAGTATTTAGTAGTCTATAAAGTATTTTTTACTTTTGACCTACTCTATATATAATATTACGAGTATGATATCGTAATATCGAACGTGTTCCTCGCGAACGTGTTATTGAATAATATTAGAAATATTTGAACATTTTTGGTCGGTTATAATTTTATTATTTTATACATAACCCATTCATCAGTAATGAAAAATTTCGGTGCATATTATTCTCGTACAATTCGATGTTTATAGTTTAATGCACCGAATTAGAGTGTTATAAAAGAAATACTTTAACAATTAAACCGTCGTTAGTGGTTTTTTTTTTTACGCCAACAGCTAATGTGTTATACGGTCCCATTGTATGTTTCGAAGTAGGGTTGTTTTTTCAAATTATATTTCAACCGCAACAATATTTTTATCGGTGTTCAAATCGAGTTTTAACTACCCGCGCGCGACCTCGGTTTTATGTTATTGACTCTAAATTAACATTATTTTATTATTCGGAATATTATAATATTTTTTATGTCCAGACTCACAGGATAATTTATTCAACATTCAAACTGAATCTACCCAGAGTAAGATTTTTATAAATGTCAAAATTAATTTTTAATGGTTTTTGATTTTATTTTTTGTATACTTAATAACTTGTTGAGTAGGCGTGGATAAGTTTAATAATACATTTGATTTTTAATTTCATGTGCCAATATTTTTCTTAAGACATGAGTGCATAACATCTCTATTAACATAAATAATTGATTTATGTCATTGTATTTACGTGTGTTTAATGGTTATGTAACGAAAGATTAATTTAATATAAATTGATCATAAAATATCTGAAGTTAAACACAATCATAATAGTCTAATCGGAATCTTATTTATTTTGTGGATAATTAAAAGTTAATTAAATCATTGAAAATTAAACATATTTTGATTGTCAAATAAAGTTATTGTCAATATTATATTATTTTTACTGCTTTCAATTATATGTAACATTTAAAATAATTATACTGTTGTCAGAAAATTTCAAAATTGAATGATATAAAAATTTTAATTATGGAAATGTTTAATTACTTTATAGTGCGTATTAGTTTAAAACCGAGAAAAATATAGATTTTATTTTGTACAAGTAAATCTGTGAGATGAATTATGTGAGAAATCATAAACAGGTTCTGTCAAACAGATATTTAACTACAATAATTTACCCTATTTATTCAAATTATATAATCTCGCACACCAACGGGCGTATATTCGTTTCAAAATAACATATTTTCAAGATTGAAATTTTTCAAAATAGATATAGGCTTTTACAGTGCGTAAAATTACAATTTCCCATTCCTATATATTATACGTAGGAATTTTTAAATTGCAGATAATATTATATACATAAAGGTACCTACGCAATACGATTATTTTTTTTCGTCTTTTCCACTCGCGAATTTAAAAGTTGAATAAAAACGCTCTGTAGATACTAAACCTACATAATATGCATAATATTTCGTATATATTCTGATTATCGTGGTACTCTATAGAAATCTTACGACGCAGCATCGTAACCATCATACCTCGATACCATATATTGGTAATATCAATACGCCTCGATCAAAAGAATATTTATGTATCGTATTTATATTAATTTGACTTAACTCAAGAAATCGCGGTATATTATGTTCCGGGCTACAAGTAAATCACATTATGAACCTACCACTTATTTATTATGTATTGAAATCAAGGACCTAAACTGGTATATATCGGTCATTGGTACTATTATTGGTATGGGCGTAGGTACTCACTCTGTCCGAGGTGAACTCTCTTCATCCACGGGTAGATCTGCGGTGGGTTTTGGCCGGAGCCCTGTTTGCCGCCCGAAGACGCTGGCCCGTTGCCGTTGCCGCCGTTTCCGCCGCCGCCGTTGGACGACGTGGACGATATGGACGAGGCGGGCGACGAGGACGTCTGCGAGACGGGGCCCTGTGTGGCGGGCGAGGAACCGGCCACCGGGCCGCCGGACGACCGGACAGACTTCATGACGACGGCGGGCGGAGGTGACCGGGACCCGGGTGGCGGTGCCGCGGACGTGGTCAGGTCTTGCGGCGAGCTGATGCCGTTCGGCGTGGCCGACGCCGAGGCGGTCACCTCGTACTTGCACTGGACGCCGCCGGCCGCGGACGGCATGCCGACGACGTTGTTGTTGAGCGCCGACGATATGGGCGATATGGCGCCACCGCCGCCGGGCGACGGGAGACCGCCGACGCCGCCGCCACCGCCGTGGTGCTGCAAGTGCTGCAGGTGGGCGCCAGCGGCAGCAGCGGCCGCGGCCGCCTGCAGCCTCTGGTGCTGCTGGTGCTGTTGGTGCTGTTGCTGGTGGTTGACCGAGTGCAGTTGCGTGTAGTCGATCATGGACGGCGACGACTGTTGCATGTACTGCGACGCGTACTGTTGGGGCGAGTAACAGCCGGCTGCTGGGCCTGCGTTGTACACGCTGCCGCCACCGCCCTGGGCCGCTTGTCCGTAATAGTCGGCAGCCGAGGCCGTAGCGGCACCGCCGCCGCCCGGACTGTTGCCCGTCTGTAGCGGGTCGACCGGCGATGTGACCGCCCGGCCCTGTTGCTGTTGGGCCTGCTGGCTCTGCTGGTAGCAGTTCATGAACTGATACGAACTCATGTTCATCTAAACGGTTCGGATAGCGCGCGCGCGCTTCGATGCACGCCTCGATACGACGTTTACCTCTGACGACCGGTCACCGTGCCCGTCTGTTACAAAGCTCACCGGAGGACCGACGAACTGCGCTTTGCAGCTAACGTAAAAATATATTAGATATTTACGATATTTATCTATCGTCCGCCGTCAGGTCTCCAACATGTCGTTCGAAAACCGCGTCATAATGTCTGCGCCGACGGGAAAAATATCCAGAAAAAAACACGAAATTTAACGCACTCGAAAACGAATTAATCCAAAAAAAAAAAAATTAAAATAGTCGAATATCTGCGAATATCATATAATATATAATAATAATACGTGAAATATTATAATTCGTCGAACGTCAAAAAATCACTAGCGCACCGCGGCCGGATAATAACAAATAATATTAAATTACGATAATAATACGACAATAACAATGTTGTACCGTCGTACGTGTCCGTCGGACGGGGCTGGGGGCCACGTGCTAGTGTAATTTACGACTGCGGCGGCGATCCGCGTTCGGAGGCGAGTGGAACAGTACAGCGGACCGACTCGGAGGACCGAACACACTCCGAAACCCGACAACTTCCGACGCGGCTGGAGACGTGCGCGCGCTGTGCCGGCGTGTGCGTGTGCGTGTGTGTTTGTGTGCGGTGTGCTGGTGTGTGCGTGTGCTTGTGTGTGCGAGTGTGCACGCGCGCCTGTGTGAGTGAGCGTATCCGTACAAACGTAACCGCGGCCGTCGACCAATCGGAACGCCGGACGGTCGGCGCTCGGATCTGGCAGTCCCTCGTGTGCCGCCGCCGTCGACGGAGGCGGCGGCGGCTGCGGCGGCGGCTACGACGACGCATGAATGAACCGGTGTGCGCGGCGCCGTCGGCGGTGGTGGGGGCGGGGGAACGTGACCGCCGCCGCCGCCTTCGGACTACCTATTTCGTCGCGGACTTTGTCGTTTCGTACGCCGCACGCAGCCGTGTCCGAGTTGTTGCCGACGACCGTCCGGCCAAGGCGCTCGCGTATGCACGGTTTTATGTTATTATTACTATTATTATTATTTTTATTATTTTTATTTATATTATATTATTGTTAATGTTATTGTTATTGTTATACTTTAGAGTGAAAAACTATAGTATATTTTCTAATAGAAAACACCTAATGTCCTAACACATATTATTTGATTGCTAGCCGTTTTCACACTATATTATTTTGAATATAGTCCCTACAAATTGTTTTCTTAAACATGACGTACATTAATTTCATTTGTCACAGACATAAAATAGAAGATATTTTAACTTTTTAAAAAAATGCAATTGTTTTTAATTAGTCATAAAAACATAATCATAAATAATTATGCTACAAAATGTATGATAACTTATCATTTAAAATGATTCTACGGATTATTTTTCTGATAATTATTGGTAAATTTATTTATTTTAATATTGTCTCGAAACAACTTTGATTTTGAATTTCTCACATATTGAATGTTCTATGTGTATACCTATTGGCTATTATCATATTATTATCCGTTTCCCATTATGTATAGGTAATAATAATATAAAGTGACAACCGAAATCACTAATCTTACATGTTTATCATATTTTGTTCGGATTGTGATTATTTCTTCTATTGTTATAATCGTAGACAACTATTATGTATTATTGAATTCTAAATAAAAATTTATCTCTTCATCTGATGTAATTTGTTATTATATTTCGTATTGTACTGGGGTAAAGGTTAGATATAGGATAGGTTTAGTAACGAAGTTTTTTTGTAAATACTCATGTGGTAAACTTATATGTAAATTTTCTTAACGAAAAACAATAATGATGGCTCTTACCTAATAATACTGTTAAAATAACTCCAGACGTATAAGACGTTTGGACATTTGAAGTAGATTGATGGATTGTGTATGTATATATTATTGTGTATTATATTATACAAGTTTTTTGGATTTAAAAAATATAATTTAATAATATATATAAAATACCAAAAATTAGTAACCACAACTAAATGTTATGTAGCTAGGAATCCTCGATTCCGTATACACCATATGAATATTTTTTTTTTTTAAAATCGGGAACTCACTTTTTCAATATATTATTTCTGTGACCCGGCAGTGAATGAGTAGGTCACTTTAAAGGATTAGTTAAGCTTGAGTTCAATAGTAAATCATTGTGTGTATGAAAAAAAATTATAAAAAATGATACACCCGTGGGAAGTGGGTGGATTACTGGATTAGCACTTATTTCTAAAAGTAGTTTTTAACTCAGTGTCCACATAAAGTAACTGATGTAAATAACTAAAACCGTTAAATAAAATATTTATATTTCGATTAATATTCAATTTTTTAAAAATTTGAACTTCTAATATTTATATAAAATAAAGTTTCAAAGATGTACCCATCCCATATTTGATAGTCTATTTAATAACTGTAAGTAAAACTTATAATAAATCTTGTGTTTAATGCTTAAATTATTTGAGGACAAAAACATTATAAACATGAACCTAAAAGAATATTGAAAATGTATATAAAATATATAAATAGGTAGCTAAAATATAGTCAAAACATATTTTTTGAAATTTATTTATTGTCTAGAAAATGTTAGTTATATAAGTACCTATTGGTAAGTATTCCAGGTCTGTACAATATTTAATTCTTATTTGAACTGAACTTTACAAAAAAAAAACCAAAATTGACTTTATGAAAATTAGTGATGTGTTAATATTCCTAGCTTATAGCTTCTTTTTATTATAAGTTTCGAGAAAAACTCAGTCATTAAGAAAAATTATTTTCATATTTTAACTTCCCAAATAAATTTACTACCAACAAAATGTAAATGTGAGATTAAATCAAATTGTCTGCTCCAAAACGTGATGTCAGACACAAAAAATACAATTCATTGCAAAACTAATGCATTCCTTGATCTACACAAGTGAATATAGGTACTTGATATAATCTTAATTAAATTATTAAAATTGAGAATCATTGTAGCCTGTAAGTATAATATGTACAATTTATTTTATACATCGCATGGCATAACGCTATGTATACATAATAATAATTTTTTTATTATTTCATAACAAGGAGTTATTATGGTTATTATTCTAGCACCTACTTAATTATAACTAATTTTAGTTATAGCTTGGTGATCGGTATTTAAGATTAACATGTACATTATTTTTATTATGGCTGTAACACTTAATATTAAATCATTAAACTGTAATAAATAATATAATATTTACTATTGTTTTTGTGTCTAATATATACTTATATTATATAGGTTTGTGATGATTTAATAAATCGTATTATTATTTCTGTATAATTATTATAAACCATAAATGGAGGGACTGCAATTTGTTAACCCATTGAATAATGTATATGATAATAAAACTTACACATGTATTATAATAATATAAAAGTACCTAATTACCGACATAATATATTATTGGTTTCTAAATATGTGAAAAAAAAAGTTTTCTATATTATTCATTACTAATAATATACACGCATATACCTTGTGTGCGATAGAACTTAGAAAATAATATTTAATTAAGTACAATATATTATTATCTTGTACTTTGACTGTTCAGATGATAAAATATTAATATAATTAAGACAATATTGTTGCACACCAACTCTATCGTTTGAAAAAGAAAATATAATATATTTATATTTACCTATTAAATAATATGGCGATGACTGATGACGATGGTCAATCGTTCGTCAGCTGCTACCCGTTACCACAGTTGGACGTTCGTATATTAGTGCAATAATCATTGCCTAATCAATTTATCGTATCTTATCTAAAAATACACAAGCCCAACTTAGTAATGTGATTGAAAATACATCGAAAAAGTACAAATCATACATGACTTTCTAAATAACAACTATTTTTCAACCAGAGACAACACGACTATTTAAATCTAATGCTGGTAGTCTACTAAGTCATATGTCACCCTATATGATCACACAAATATTATTTTATGTATGTAGTTATTACTATTATTAGTTAGTTTAAATGGTTTAAGTTGTTCTAAGATTTTTTAATACCCTAATAACGGTTACGGTCTATGATAATATTATAAAATATTGATGATTCTATTTGAATTTTACATTACGGATGTCAATTTGTTTTTAAGAAGGTAAACAATTAAAACAACGCTTTTTTTGGAGGGGGGGGGGAGTTATATAGAATTTCTTATCGTTTTGATTTTTTTACTGTAGTTAGATCTATCTGGCGTATAACTGAAGTAAAATGTTAACCTCAGACTTTACCACATATTAAAAAGTACTGATTTTTGAATAAAATTTACCTGTAGGTATTTATTAATTCGCAAATCATTCTTTTGTCCTAATCATTATAATAGTTTACTAATAACCCATTATAGATACAGTTAAATTATAATTGTATTTAAATATTGAATTTGAATTCATGACTTAAATATTTTTTACATATTTATACGCACCGCGTTTAACTTGAGGTTGTGTCAGCAACGTGTAAGATATTATATACAATTACAACATGTCTTTAATAGTACACGTTTCTTATTTGCAACTCTGCAATATACTCGAAAGATTTGCGAACACGTGAAAAGGATCATCAGACCATAAAATTGCTAAAAAATTCTTCCCGTCCGCATACGCACTATAGATATCCAGATGGTCGACTCCGCCCCAGAAGCCCATAATAAAATCACTTAACACATTATGATCGGTCCACCGGGAATCTTCCCGGCACCTCGCGGGCCTGCCATTTGCCGCCGGAATGGTGTCTAAAATTTAAATCATAATATCATACCATTTTTTTCATATATAGGTGAAGTATAATTATTACATCACTTTACATGCAACTATACAACAATATAAGATCAATTGGTAGATAGTATTCAGTACCTCTACAACAAAGTGAAGAGGGAAGATTCTTCCTGGTGGGGATACTTTGTAGACAATCGTCAAATAGTTAGGTCGTATAGGTCATATGCAATTGTTGTTTCTATTATATTGTACTTAATATTATATATTTTATGTAACATAACACATTTTTTTTAAAAATCATTGTTATCATCTTTTATAATTATAGTATTAGATAAGTAGGTGAACTGTCTTTTTAATCTTCTTTTGGGATTGCATGAGATCGTTATAATACTTATTACTTAGATTAGAGAGTCGAATGATAAATCGATTGTAACACTGAAATAGTATCTTTTTGAAGTGATTGTAATATGTGCAGTTTAGCTATAGTTCAGTGGAGCATTATAATCAGTTTAATATTTTAATAAAATCGGCTTATCCTAGAAGATATTTCTTACGTGGTGATTTTGTTCACTTTTCGCCATGCAGCATGTGATGTCGTAATATTGATATTTGTTGTGATCGATTTACACTGCGTATTTTATTTAAGTACAAACGCATTTCAAACGTATCAAACAACCCATGGCTATGCATTTCATCGATTATGCTCTTGCGGGGACTTGAACCAAACCAACAGAAAAAAAGTGATTCTAGATCCGATAGTTTGATAGTCTACCTAAAGCTGCATTTTTCCATGTAAAGACTTTAGTAGAAATTTTTTTTTCGATCGAGTCATGTATATAAATTACATTGGAACTGGTTGAAATCAGTATAAATTAAATAGGACATT